CTTCTTCTCAATAACCAAAAGGCCCAGGGTACTGATATTGGGCCTGTAGCATGCTGGGATGAAGGACTATCAAGTTTATTCAAATGAATGACCTTGACCAACTTTCAAAGGTCAAAGGGGTCAAAATGTCATAAAATCTTCAAATGACTTCTTCTCAATAACCAAAAGGCCCAGGGTACTGATATTGGACCTGTAGCATGCTGGGATGAAGGGCTACCAAGTTTGTTCAAATAAATGACCTTGACCAACTTTCAAGGTCACAGTGGTTGAAATATGTTAAAATCTTCAAACGACTTCTTTTCAATAAGCAAAAGGGCCAGGGTACTGAAATTGGGCCTGTAGCATGCTGGGATGGACTACCATGTTAGTTCAAATGAATGACCATGATCCACTTTCAACCTAATGTCCTTGTTCGACAATCAAGATCAGATGCGTCAAATGTTTAAATCTTTTAATAGGTTCTTATGAAATCTTAAGATTACAAGTGTTAGATTAATAACAGGTGAGCGATGCAGGCCCATTGGGCCTCTTGTTTATAGCATGTCAGCTAACCACTCTTAGAATGATGCAGATCTTATTTCAATGTAAGAAAGTATTTAACACTATATGGCATTCGACGGGCGTATATTGTTCCACCCTGCGGTACTCTTGTTAAAAGTTAATATCAAAATGAAAGAAATTGCTTTAGTGCTGCAAATATTGCCAACAGAAATTACCTTGAATTATATTTAAATTTTAACATGCAATTTTTTTTCAAAAAATCAAAATGAAAGAAATTGCTTTAGTGCTACAAATATTGCCAACAGAAATTACCTTGAATTATATTTAGGGTCATAAGTGTAATATAAAATAAAATGCTCAAACAACTTGCTATTAAATGAAATAAGTCATAGTCATGATATTTAGCAATAGAAAAATCTATTTGAGGAGTTGCTTTTCTAGATTTCCTATTGGAGTATGTAATGAAGTCTGCTTAGTAAATTATCAATGTAGATATCTTCATTATTTAGAAAGGCAAACAATAAAAAAAGAAGAAAAGCAGAAAGTAAGTGACAAAACCGGAATGAGGCCATTACAAAACTAATGTACTAGGTTTATAAATATACATGTACAGTAATTACTTTAAACTTATGTCGATCATTATGCATACATAATTACCTAATACCAGTGATTTCCGTTGTCATATCTAAACAAATGCATAAATCAAGATTGTGGACACAGGAATCAAATTATTGAACGGATGGTAATTAGGTGCCAATTGAGAGGGAGATGGATGTTGATCATGAGGGCTTTGGAGATGGGAAGCACTCCCCCACCACCCTCCACCCATCGGCCTTCCCCTATAAATAGCATGTATTATTTGTAAACCTAAAGTTTTGATAATGGGAGCTGGAACTAACTAAAGTCAACTCATAAACTTGAGAACTATGGAATTGACCTACCTATTATACAATTAATAAATTGTCGTCACAGAATGAAAGAGGTTCCTCGTTGTTACACCAGGACGAAATCTGAAATTCATAATGGATACCAGAGACACCTTAATTTGTAACTAAGCATTTGTAATGTATACTAAGATGAAACTGGTTGTTTTTGATGAAATTATTATGATTTCGATATATTAAGGGGATATATTTGTGCTATATTTAAATGAACATTGTATCTACGTGGAGTTCATTGATACTACAACTATTTTATTTTTCCATAGATGAATGAATTGATCCAGAATTAAATATGGGGTTAAAAGTTCAAAACCATTAGTTTGATATTAATGGCAGATAAACATGTACTACATTTGTACATTGAATGTACATCAATCTTTGTACCCAGGAAATCATTTTTAGCTCACCTGGCCCAAAGGGCCAAGTGAGCTTATGGCAAGGTGCGGCGTCCATCGTCCGTCCGTCCGTCGTCCGTCCCGCATCAACTTTTTACTTTAAACAACTTCTTCTCAGTAACCAAAAGACCTAGGTGATGATAATTGGCCAGAAGCATGCTGGGATGAAGGGCTTCCAAGTTTGTTCAAATAAATGACCTTCATCTATTTTCAAGGTCACAGGGGTCAAATACATCAAAATCTTTAAGCAACTTCTTCTAAATAACCAAGAGGCCTAGGGTGTTGATTTTTGGCCATTAACATGCTGGGATGAAGGGCTACCAAGATTGTTCAAATATATGACCTTGACTTATATTCAAGGTCACAGGGGTCAAATATGTTTTTAACTTTTAAACAACTTCTTCTGAATAACCAAGAGGCCTAGGGTGATGATATTTAGCCAGTAACATGCTGGGATGAAGGGCTACCAAGTTTGTTCAAATAAATGACCTTGATTTATATTCAAGGTCACAGGGGTCAAATATGTTTAAAA